CAGAAATCACTATATTACATAAAAATATATTGAATTTTGCGATGGACACTGGAGTCTATCGAAAACAAAGACTAAATCATTTTTTCATAATATTCAAATTCTGCTTCATCAAAAAGAAAAGTTAGTCAAGCATTGTTTGCGTAATTTTCTTGTGTTTGTCGATGAACATTGCTTGTTCACATTTGCACATTGCATGTCGTAGCTCAGCTTGCCTACTTCTACTGATAATTTTTTATTAATTATTAATTCAAAGAAATTTAAAATCTAAATTGACAACAAAATATTTGTTGTATGTCAGATTGGCATACACACAAAAGTGGTGCTTATTACTCCCACTAATAATACAATGATTTTTTATAACTTTACTTTCAAGTATATCAGAACAGGGTATTCTGCGAATTCGAAAAGCATATGACATGGCAAAACCACATATTCACTGTTTCAGAATAGTGATTTTTAAACAGATAAGCATGAATTAAGCTCAATGAATTAAATTGAAATAACTGTGCCCATCGCTACGCTCATTATTAGAGATCATTATCTCTTAATGTTCTATTTCAGCCTTAATAGTCTCATGACGCAATATAGGTATTCAAACCAAATATGATACTCGACAATTTGGTATTTGGTAATGTGTTTTGTGTAATTTATTTATATTTGTGCAATTTTCACCTAAAAATAAGTTATACCATAAACGTTTACCGAAAACTGAGTTACCAAAAAACTTTTACTTTTACTAATTTGTTTTTGCAACTTTACCAAATATCATTCTTAGTACCTTTCTATGATTTTGTAAAATTTCAGCACAAAAATAAATTACACGTTAAAACTTCACCCAAAAAAAAGTCACCGAGAAATAAGTCACAGAAGAACTTTAACTCTTATAGTTTGTTTGTATTAATTTACCGAATACTACGGTACTGATAAACTTTTACCAATATAATATTCAATTTTGTATAATTACAACAATAAACAATTTGTACGTTAATGTTGAGTTATTGAATTCAGCCTGAATACCCTAAAATAATTATATTGAAAAAGTAATTCTCAGTCACTATAATAGAACATTATATCATAGTAAGCCTAAATATATATATAATTTATTTATTAAACTCTGCTAAGCAGATTTCGCTTAGTTTTGAATGTATTTAACTTTTTAATTATTTATATACGTATATATAATTTAATGTTAATAATCACCTTAAAAATAAAATAAAAATAGACCTTACTCGACTAAGAACAATCAATTAAAATAATTTTATGTCACAAATCAACTACAGATGCAATTATTTTAACGGTTATTCAACACATTTATATAAATCAGATTAAAAAGCCTAAAGTAATTGTTTTTAAAATGTTAAATACAACAATTTTTATTTTATATTTTCATAGTTACATAAAAAATAATTTTTATTTTTAATTACTTATGTACATATATAGTTGTTATTAATAGCTTATTACAGAAAATTTTATATATATATCAAAAATCATTTTAAATATATATTAAAGACAATTAAAAACAACAATATTATAACAAAAATGATTAATATATTTTTGAATTGGCTAATTGATCAATTGTTTAATTCAAGGTACCCTGAAGATAACTATAAAATATAGTCTACATATTAGTAAGTATGAAAAATATATGTTTTAATAATAATTTTGAAAACTTCTGTTATAATTAAACACTTGACTAACTAGCCCGTTCAAATATATATAAATAAAATTTGATCAGTAAAACATAAAATCAAAAAAAATATATAACATTTAAAACATAAATACGGCTTCGAAGTAGAAAATTTTTCGTTTTAGATTTTGTTCCGGATTTCGTTCCGATTCCGTTAAAAAAAAAATATTTTTGATAGCGATTTTTACTCCATCAAAAACTTGGTTTTTTTGATATATAAATAAAATTTGATCAGTAAAACATAAAATCAAAAAAATATATAACATTTAAAACACAAATACGACTTCGAAATAGAAAATTTTTCGTTTTACATTTTGTTCCGATTTTGTTAAAAAAAAAATATTTTCGATAGCGATTTTCGTTCCAGCAAAACTCGACTGTTTCGATTTTCGGTATTTTTGTCATGATTAAAATCATTTTATTCATTTTTTTTTTTTTGAAAAAATATATTTAATGAATTTATTCAAATAATAAAATATCTTGACAATAAAAATATATTTTAGAACTTTTATGAATGTAACTAAATAGGTATCGTATCGAACTGTATGTAAGATGCTCAACCAAAATAAGCCGATATTTTTTTCGGCTCCGTCCCGTTTTCGATAAAAAGATATGATAAATAGATAACATATAACAAAAGAAATAATGAATACGTAGAATATTAAATTTAAGGAACATAATTTAAAATAAAAATCAAGCAATTTGAAATAAATGGTAGATATGTAAACGCAACCTAAACATGTTTTTGGTATACGGAATATATAAACAATTTTAGAGTTAACGAAAGTAAGCTCAGCAGAGTCTAAATTGCGAAGTGCTAAAGATATAATATTAGCCAATTAGCTTATTAGCAAATTTTCCGTCCTTAAAATAATTTTGGAATCAAGTTTCATATATATAAATATAACAGTCCGTGCTTGTTATGTATGTCTCTCCACATTACCATACAAGCTTATCTACTGAAATGCATAATGTATTGTAATTAAGTATGTATTTATATAATTTTACAAAATGAATTACATATATACAAGTATGTTAAAAATTCATATACAATATCTACTTATGTTTTACTGTAACCTTTCACTTTTATCAACTACAATTTTATTTTCAGCTTTGAAACATATCATTTTTAAATTTTTTAATTTTTACGTTTTTCATATTATATTATATATATATCTATACATATATTATGTATATATAAAGTCATATATACGTATAATATATATGTTTAATATATGTATACAAATAATTGTATAATTTTATTTCATTTTTGTTCTGAAAAAGACGGTTGCGTTACAACATTTAAAACATTCAACAATCTTTTGCTTAAAAAACACATTTAGAAGTGTTTACACTTGTCACAATCAATATATGAAAAATAGGAAATTAAAGACTCGAACTTAAACCATATACATACATATATAATATATATATATGTTATATATATATATTATATATGGGTGTCTACTATAAATAATAGAAATTATTTTCAAATTATTATTACTGGTAATTATTAGTGTCACACAGTTGCTGTTGACGCTGCTATTGTCGTCGTCTATTTTTCAATGTGTTAAATATTTTTCATAAACTACAGAATACATTTGGAGAGATATAATTTACATATCACTGCTTAAGCATTTATAGACATATCTTACTTTTTTATATATGTAAAATGAAAAAACAAGCTTTAGTTCAATGTTAATAAACGTATAAAATATTAATGTATATATATATATATATATATACAATACTATAGCTTTGATATATCTTTCCTTTAAGGTTCTGATGAACTTGTGAAAAATTTTTAAATGCTTTACATTATCATTACAAATATAACAAATATTATAACTTACATAAAAAAAAAAAACAAACTGAACCGATTAACACAAGTAAAGAACAAAGTTTAATAATTTAATAACATCTTAACCAAGTTAAAAAGGTATGTCTCCATATAAAAAGCAAAATTATATGTCATACAAAATGTATGTTTTCTTTCTTTATCACCAAAGAAAATCTAAAAGCCTTTACTAATCAATTTTTTTTCACTCTCTTTGTTATGGCTCCAAGATGGAGCATAAGGCCCCATTCAATTTATAAACATATATAAATTAAACAAGTAAATATGCAATCGAGTATCCATAATATTTATTAGTTTATGTACATTAATAAACTAAAAATAACTAACACCTCTCAACATGGTAGGTTTTTTTATTTGGGAGTCACAAATTTTGGTCCAAACCGATTTCTTACACCTACTATAAAACATTGGAAAAATCATTAAAAAGATAAAAATTTCATTATAAATGTTTTTATGTCATTCTTGTTGATGAATTGAAAATATTATACATCAAAATTTCTAATTTTTTGATATACAATATTATCAATCAATTCGTTAGTTTTGTTTGTTGTTAAAAGATATTCTTAAATAGATGCAAAATAAAATACTTTAATAAAAATTGGTATTAATGATAACTAACTGAATTTATGGACTGTAGAAAGTATATAAACAAATTATTACAAAACTGTTATACCAATAAGAGTTATTCATTAAGTGATTTTATTACAAGAACCACCTATCTAACAGATTAATGCATTAGGTACTCGTCTCTGATTTCCGCTTTTATTAAAAGGAACCCCTTCCTTTCCCCTTTCAAATATATTTGTTCTTCATTAAAGCAAAACAAATAAATAGATACAATGGAATTATAATGATAGTGCATTCAAATCAATTAAATCAAATTTATATTCACTACTATAGACAACTGTTCTAACATAGTATAAATAATATCTTATGTTAAATATAAATTTAAATTTAAAAGGTTTTATCCTTAAACATTAACCGCGGAGTTATTCGGGGTGAGCTCAAAGCTCGTTTTGAAAGAAGATTGTAAGTACATCATTAATGATTTGTGCACAGTACCAAGTAAAAGCAAGTATATTAAGTCTATTGCTTAATGGTTACAAACATTGAAGGCTTTATGGTTTCATAAAAATGTATAAAAAATTTGAAAAATATTGCTGAAAATGCTCATTGTTATATTGTTGTCAATTTGTTGCTTTGTCTCAATATATGACAAAGTGGCAGCTAAAGAACCAGTCGGATAATCTATAATTTGATCAACCAAAAAAATAGATTTCAGTCGACCAACCATTTAAGAAGTATGCCTCTACCGCACATTATATAGTATTAGCAACTTAGCAATATAAATAATATTTTATTGCAACAACACTTTTCTGTGATGTTGTTACTGCTTTTCGCATTTTAAATATATTTAAACAATTATAGAAGTTACGCCCACATTTACCTAAAGAATTAGGTAGTCTCACGTCGTGGTCGTGGTTTCATATTATTAGCTATAAACAAATTTTTAGGTGTATGATATATAGTTGGATTAATTGATTGTTGTTGCGGGTGTACATCGTAGACAGTAACTGCAGCAGCTGCCGCAGCTAAAGTATTTGCTGTTTTTGTTGTCGGCGGATTGGTTGTATTCATAACGTTCGCATACTCCTCATTGGATTTAGTACACTTCCCACTTTTGGCTACAGCAGCTGCTGCAGCAACGGCAACGGCGGCGGATACAGCTGTGCGATGGTGCTTACTTAGATATTCATAAGTTTGTAATTGAACTTCCTTATTTGCAGCAACAGCTGCAACAGCAACTGCACTTGGTAGCAACATATAATTTGCTGAATCACAGACGAACGACGGTAGATTTGGAGTAATTGTAGCTGCTGCTGTTGCTGTAGTTGTTGTTGGCGATGTTGACGTTGACGTTGACATTGACGAAGTTGTTGAAGCGGTTAAAACTAAATTGGTTGCTCCAGTTTCATTTTCATTGGCAGGTGTATTTGTAGACGCTGTTGCGCAAATTCGGTGATTTCTATTTGCTAAAAATATTAATATTCTATGGATTTGTGTCTTCTTTAGGTTATTGTTATTAAGCAAAACTAATCAAAAAAATCTATAACCATTTAAACATAAAAACTATAAGAAGATTGTAAACAAAAACAAACAAAACTGATTTAACTTCAAAAGGATTGTATCTAGGGTAGAGGAAACGAACATAACCAAAAAACATATAATTGGATTCAAGGATAATTACCGAGTTGAAAGAGATATGATTTTTTATGACTTCAATAGAAAGATAGTATTCTAAACAACAATACCTAAAATTGTAACAAAATTGAAGAAACTCAAAAATCACGTGAATTTATCTTCAAAGGGAACACATTCGTTCAAGTCACGTTATTAAATGTCCAGCTGTACCAAAAATAGTTAAATCAATCGCAATATTAAAGTAAAATGTAGAATGAAATAACGAAACGAAACGAAAGCATAAAAAAGGAATATTAAAAAAACTATCTCAATATATAATAACAGAAATTATAATTAAAACTTAAAAAATATATTTCTCATAAAAAATTTTATAATATATTTTTAGTTTATTTTATTCCTTATAACTGCTGTTTTCTTTACTGTTTTATTTAGATTCTTGCAAATAACTATTTTTTGATAACTTTAAGGTATTAAACTAACAACGAGTTATTTTTAATTTATTAGACTATACTTCTGTATAAATAAATATATAAATATGGATATAAATATAAATATATATAACTATAAATATATAAAAATATAATTATATATAAATATAAATATAATTATATATAAATATAATTACATATAAATATAAATATATATAAATATAAATACATATAAATATATACATAAATAAAAATATAGATATATATATAGATATAAATGTAAATATACCAGGCAAATGCAGAAGTTTTTTCCGGTTTAATTAAGAAATGATACGCTAGTTATTTAATCAAAAGAAACGGTCAAAAAGACAATGGAAAGTCATCCTTTGGACCTTCAACATCACGAAAGACAATCATTTTTGTACCGAATTGTGAAGTGTGAAGAAAAATGAATTTATTTTGAAAATAACCTGAAAAATTCGAGGTTTCCACCTGACGTAGACGGTCCTTCCACACAAAGGCTAAGTCTTTTCGGCAAAAAGACTTTGTGTCCTTTTTTGAAACAAAGAAAAAAATTAATTATGGTGTCTTTACTAATAAAACCGGAAAACCGAATGCATACACCTAGTATATACGACTATAAATATCAATATATATAAATAAATATTATACATATTATAAACATAATAAATATATACATAAAATATACATATATAATATCATATTTACTATTAAACTATTATTTTATTATATATATATTTAATATGATATAAATATATATAACTATATATAAAAATATACATATAAATATATATAATTATATATAAAAATATATATATACAAATATATATATAAATATCTACATATTTACATATTTATTAGAACAAAGAGAAACATATTGTGCAACAATTTTGATCAGCCTATTCGACAATATTATATACCAATGTAGTTTTGGTTTTAAGATATCAGGTTTTAAAGCTGTTAACTTTTTACATTAATTACACTAACAAAACTAAATATTTCATTTAAAAGCAATTAGTATATGGATATTATTATATTAATAACAGAACAATGATTAACAACATCTTATTAAACTAATTGTTATAGTTTTTTCTGCATAAATTTGCAATTCTAAAATCGGATACCATAAGAACCCAACTAGATCGCATCAAAATATTAAAATTAACGAAAATACGGTGTCAAATCATAGTGCCGTAAAAATGGAAATCATTATTTCATCTAATTTAAGAACAATATCATCTATCCTATATTTAATATTACTATTTCACCTATTTTAATACATAACTTTGTTTTTTTTTTAGTGAATCGTAATCTTAGTTTGACGTTGTCTCTTAATACGATGTCGCGAAGAATTCTTCTTTACTTAGTTTCACTTTGCGACATTAAAATTGCATAAATCATAATTAAATAGTCAACTGACAGCCTTTAAATAAAAGCTAAAAGTTAGTATGATGAAAATAAAAATCTATAAAAAAAAATAATTTATAATTGTCTATTGGAGAAACTGGTTTTTAATCTATATGTAGCATTACTGTAATAACCTTATATTATGATATAATTAAAAACTATAATAAATTAAAGTCCCTCGAAGATATATAGATTTGGTTGAATTTATTGGATTTTAATTTAGAGATTTTTTTTCTAATAAAACACAAAAATGGAAAAGAGATGAAATGAATGTTAAAAAATTTTTTTTATATTTTAAATGCATTAAAAAGAAAGAGAGAGAAAGAAAATATGATTCAAATTAAAATCGTAAACAATCCTGTTAATATCCAGTACACAAAACCGTATGGTTTGAATATATAAAAAAAAAAAATTATATTTGATAAAAAAAAAAAGTAGAAAAGTAAAAAGTCATCCACAAAAAAGGATATAAATTTAAAAATCTGTAATATTAATATAATATTTATAAAGTTTGTTTGCATATATTTTTAGAATTTATTGCATCATCTATTTTTTACACAACTGTTTTGCAGTTCATATTAACATAATAATCATTTTGTTTAATAAAAGAAAAAAACGATGTCAAAAAGAAAATAATTCTTATTCTTACACTTACATAAAAACGTAGCATAAGTAATTTAATTACTTTCTATTGAGAACATTGCATTTACCTTACCTAAACTTATAATTAATAAACAAAAAATTATTTTTCAACTTTATCGATACAAAAACATATATATAAAAAGTAATACATATAATAATGAATACATTAATATGTATATATGTATTATATATTTTAATTTTAAATAAACCTAAAATGTTTAATAAGTAAATTATAAACAATAAGAAATAAATAGAGTTACAGGTTTAGTGGTAAAAATATATATATGTATATATAATACTTATACATATATATACATATATATAATTTCTTAAAACTTCAACTTAATTGGAAATATAATATAAAGTTTTACATTTTGTTTTAACATAAAATAAAAATATACATTTGTCAAAATCTCTAAATATAAACTTAATAAAAACATGATTTCCAAAAGTAAATAATTACGTATGCGTGCCTTCTTAAAATTAATAATAAACATTAAAAAGTAATATTAATAATCGCTAAAAAAATTATTTTATATTACTAAGTTTAATTTTAAATATTAATAAACTTAATATTTCTTAAAATTATTTTTTAAAAATATATGTATAATAATAACTTTGCTCTATCTTCATCAATCTCTATAACTCAATTTCGTGATTTGTTTATTATTTTTTTTTTCTTTTTTTAATATTTAATTATTACAATCATTTAATATAATTTTAATAAATTTTTACATATATATATCTATATATATAAATATATATATACATCGTATACATATATTTTAACTCAAACAAAACATGTATATGAACACATATATATAAATATATATATACGTATAGTATTAAAATATTTAGATGTCATACTAAAAAATGTTACATTTTTTATTTAATATTTGACATTTTGTTATAGTAATCATAATGATAAATAAATAAGGAAACACTTTACATAATAAGGTAGGTATTGATCATATATCTCATATTTTTTATATGCAAATTTTCTAACACAATTTTGTTAAATAATATATATGACAGAACTTTTATTAAAAAAAAAACGAACATATATAAAACAAAAATAAAATACAAAAATATTTTAAACGCAGAAAAAAATAAAATCAAAATAGAAAAATCAAACACTAGAATAATTAAACAATAGAAAATTTAAACCATAGAAAAATTTTAAAAATCTCATTGCTGTATAAGGAAAATAATTTTAAAATTATTAACATAAAGTATTAAAATTTTCATTTGAGTATAAAATTTCTGTTCGGAATAAAAGTGAAAAATTTTAATAGATTTTATAATGATATTAAGATTCGGGTACGTATGTCTGTGAATAACATATGTATTTAAGATTTTTTTATGTATAAAGAAATAGCGAAAATTGCAAATAAAAAAATTTAGATAGTAGATAGTAAAACAAAAAAAATGTTTTAGTGTTTCTGCTCTATTTATTTCCTAAAGACATCTAAATCACTTATCGCAAACTGCCTTCTGTGATATATAATATTAATTTATGTTTACATATATACAACTTATATAATAATAATTTTCGTGTCGTGAGTCGATTTATTAAAGAGTTAGCCTAGGCAGTATATTGAAAATATAATATATATATATATACACATATTTATATATATATATATATATATACATAACTAGTATTATTAAATTTTTTCGCATTCGCTTACACATCATTCTAAAGATTTTCTTACTTATTACTTATATATATGACAGATTAATAGTGTCCAAGTCAAAAATAAACATTTTTACAACTTGAAATAATATTTATATTTGAAATTAATGAAAATAAAAAAGTTTAGTAATAATTAATCAAGTTTTAATTCATTTGAGAATTTCAGGGATTATCAAAATGTAATTTCATTGGTGTTAAAAAAAAAATTATAAACTATAAATATATATATATTTAATATCATAATAACTCGGTTGTACGTTTTGCGTATGAATAACTGGATTGTATAGAACAAGAACGAGTGCAAAATATTTTATATAACATATATAAATAGAATGTCGGTATATAAAATGTTGTAAATTATTAAAATAATATACTTTGTTAATAAAAAAAAATAAAAACGGTACTTTTAGTAAAATTATTTAACATCCATTTTCATACGAATGTTTTTTTGCTCATAACCTAAAGTAATGTCGAAGTATTAAGAAATAACATTATTGACTTATATTTTAGCTTAATTTGATCGAATTTAAGGCAGTGAACAACTTTGAAGTAATGGCAATGAACATTATTTTTAGTTTTCATATCCGAAAAGTGACATTTACGCTTTTACATATATTGACAGTAGCTAATGTTTTATATTGAATGGGTTTTACACATATATCTTTCATCTGAGCCAAACTCATGATCTTTCATCAAAAAAAAAAAGAAAAAAATCACTTACTTTATATGATTGTCTCATACATGAATACCCCATATAGTTTTATAAAGATATCACATTTAATAGATACCAATTTATCACAATAATTAAGCTAAATTTTGAAATTTCTTATCGGTGTTACACATTTTAGTGCACGACACATCAATAATGGTTTGCTTGTTATAATTAAATATATATTTAATTAAAACATTTCAATATAATGGATATTTCATATATCATAAAATCAACATATAAATCAAAATTTCAATATGTATAAAAAAATGTATGTTTTAATATAATATGAACTTAAAACTTGCTACTTTATTGTACTATAGCTGCAAATTTGAATGATATATCACGGACGGACAGACAAAATTTTCATTTTCAAAAATACCAAATTTCGGAATATATTTATGTATATTAAAATAAAATAAAGTAGCCTTCACATAATTTTAAGTTAACTTTCCATTAAGAGTTTATGCATATAAGCACATGTAAAAAAAATAATTATTCAAAACATAAAGTTCGTTGTTTAAAATCTATAAACATGTAATCATTCAACAACAATAGGATAAATATGAGTGTAACCTTTTCTCTAATTGTCCTTCCACAAATATCTGACCTGCATCTATATGCATGGCTCAAGTAGCTGACTACCTACACGTATTGTTTAAATTGAGTAGTTTTTCGTTATATGTATGTATTCAAATTAATTTAAATATTAAATTCGTTAACCTTTCACTAATGAAAAAAATAATAAAAAAAAAAAACTAAAAATAGAAATCCTTCAAATGATTGAAACATAAAATTATAACAAAAATTACCAATAAATGTATCGTTACAGTAGTAAGTCATTCGCTCTTGACTGCTGCCCAATAGCAATTCACTGACACTTATCTATATAAACGCTCATATTCGTTAAAAAAAAGATTTTGTAATTAGAGTGCGTTTCGGAATTAAAGATTAACGTTACTTTTCAAAGCGTTCACACGTTGTCAAATTTTTTATTCGTATTTAAACTATTTTGCGCAGATTTACTGGATACTGCTTGCGATGTCGATGTCGATGCCGGTAAGAAATTTACACTCGTACTGTCCTCCATCTCCAACTTCAGGGACCCTGCGGTCTGCACGTTGCAAGTGCAATCTTTAACATCAACATTATCATCAACATCATTAGCACATATATTTCTATTATCGCTGCTATTATCAACGCAGCTTATTGGAAAGTTTATTGGAGCTTCTGTTTTTTCTTGTATTTTCTCTGCACTGCGGGATGCTGCATACCGTTCTAAATCAATTGCAAACGGATTACAACTGCAAGTGCTACTGCTACTATTTGTACAGCACTCACTAGTGCAAAAGCTACTGCCGCTACTATTGTTACATGCCAAGGCACATGTGAAATTGCAGTTTTGTAAAACAGAACTAACATCACTACTACATACAGTTTCGTGATCATTTTCAAAAAAGTCACCATCTAATCTAGAACGACTATCTTGTTTCTTAACATTTTTTATAGTATCCTCTGGATGAGTTTCGATTTTCTCAACATGCAGTGTATTCTCTGCATCTTCAAGATGTTCGTTGTTTTTTTTGAGTATCAATAAATTAAGCACAGTACCACCGACAATATGATTATTACTTAAATTGTCAGATTTTAGTGAATGGACAGGATTTGTAGTATGATTAATGGAAAGTTTTTCAATATCATTGCAGATTTTAGAATAAACAAAGTGTATGTTATGTGTTTCATATGGTTCCTCTTTACTAAATGTTTTTGGGGATGTACAAAAAATACTTGAAGCGGTTGTAGCTGCACTATTATAACCATTTTCTGTTGCCTCGATAGTACCCGGTGTGTACAATGTATTAGGTTTGTTGGATGTGTTAGGTGTGTCGAGGGTGTTGGAAGTGTTGGCCGATGTTTCGAATATATTGGACACGTGGTTTGTGTCGAATGTATCAAATATATTGGACACATGGTTTGTTTCGGATGTATCGATTATATTAGACACGTGGTTTGTGTCGGATGTGTCGATTATATTGGACACGTGGTTTGTGTCAGATGTATCAAGTACATTACGTACACTATGTACATTAGGTACATGGGGTATATTGAGTGTGCTGAGAGTGTCTGATACTACGGATGTATTTGTCGTATGTGTCATATTAGATTTTAAAATGTTCTGATTTTGTGGATTTTGGCGTTGTTCTTTATCATCTTCTAATACAATATTAGATATATTTTGAAGTTCTGTTTTTGTTTCTGCCACTTTAAAGCCAATTGCATGAGTCTCTGCTGGTCTGGCTACAACAACTACTTTACGACGACTAGCACTGCCACTATAACCGTTCATTGATTGTAGTGCCATTTTATCACCAAGCAATTCATTTTGCATATGTTGTCTTATAGCTGGAGTATTACTTAAAGAAGCACTGCGTGCACAACTACTGCTATAACTACCACCAGCCATAACTATGTCCACCAAAGATCGTGGACTTTTACATGGCGAGTTATTAGAGCTCAATTGATTATCACATATCGAAGAATAATAATCGTCACAAATATCACCACCTATTGACAAACTAGCATTCGAAGCTGTTACTGAAGTTGACGGTGAAGATAATTTTATATTGGAATTAAGTGTAGCATCCTTGGCATCATTGGTGTCAACTGTTTCCACCGTTTCTAACGAACAGGTAGTAGATGGATAACACAGTTTCACAGAAAAAGAACTAGGTGGAGTAGTTACTGACGTTTTATGTGAACGACTATTAACACTGCATGTACTATTTCGTCGCATCGCTGTTGTTTGTTGTACAAAATTTTCACAAAAATCAGTGGGATCGCTACGAAAATAACTTTGAAACCATTGAAATTTTTGAGAAAGTTTCTGCTTATTGTTTTTCAGCTTGATTTTAAGTTTTTGCCTCGAAGTCGTACCTAAACCACTACTACCTGTACAATTAAAATTGTTTGCTCCATCTACTGTTTGTAAAGCTAATATGCTTCCTTTGTTGCCAGCACTGGAATGTGCTGATTTAGAATTTCGCCTAAAGAGCGGTTTTTTGTGCTGTGTCGTGTTTGATGTGTTTTTAGGTGCCATTAATAAGTCCATAAATTTATGTCTACTGGTCGGAGCAGCGGATAGTACGAGCGCTTGTTTCTGCTTATCACTTGTATGAACTGAATTGCTTTTGGGCAGGTCATTATTTTCGATTTTAGCGATGTAACATTTTTCAATAAATGTATTTGTGGAACTTTGTGGAACAACTGAAGAAGCTGCATCTGTTCCATTTAAATTTAAAATAAGGTTGTTTTTTATATTGTCATAATTATCATCATCATCATCATCATCATTAACATCATTATCACCACCAATTTTATTTTTACAATAACTACTACTATTTCTATTAAAATTTGAAAAACAACTCTTATGTAAATTGGAAGCGGGTATAGAAGATAAGTGAGTAGCAGGGGGGGAAGGTAATTGTGAAGATAAAAATAATACATTGTGCGCAATTGGTTTAACGGAGGACTCACCGGATTCCCAGTCCTCCTCATTATCAGCTGTGGCAGAAGATGAAGAATGGCTGCTAATGCTGCTACTTTTGCTGCTGGTATTGCTATTACTGTTATTTTTGCTGTCACTTCCATGACAGCTACTTTGATGATTTAGACGCGGCGTTTCAGAACCTATAATTTGGGCATTTAAATTTTTGTTGCTATTAGTGTCTCTGCCCGCGGACGGTTGATACTGCTGCTGATGCTGATGCTGATTTTGATGACGTTGATTATTTGTAAAGGCATATGCTGAATGCTTTGAATTGGGTGTTGAAGTTGCTGTCACAGTGTTTAAAACAGTTTGTGATTGCTGCTGTTGTGGCACATTATTTCCAACTGAGTTATGATGTTTTTGTATATCTACACCAATATTATTGAAATGCGCATATGAGGGTGGGGAAGACTGTGGTAATGGAGGTGCTATAATACCTGAGTAAGAGGCACGCTCTCCACAATTATTGCTGCAAGCAGAAGCATATATCGCATGATTAGGTGCTGAACTGCGCAGCGATCTGTTGTACGTTTCAAATGAGCCACTTTCAGCGCCTGCTCCTCCAATTAAGCTGCTTACAGATGCTGTTGAAGAGGATTTGTAATCACATATATAATTTAGATCGCTGCCGCTACTGCTATTTTGAGGCAGGGAATATGTGTTTTGGGGCAGACCAGCACTTTGTGACGTCCTGTGATTATTTAATCTGTGACTCACACTTGACTGATTTCTCGCAGTTGAATCGTCAGCATAAAATACAAGTTGCACCTATTTTGTATAAATAGAAACCATTGAAAACATCAATCAGAATAACACTGTGGGATCTAACACAAGCTTTTGATTTTTATTTTGCAAATAAAATAATGCAGTCAATACATTTTTTTCTGATTCAATTTTTAATAATTACCTTGAAATCTTCTGAAAAATGTTTATGTTCTTTATCTTTATGTGCATCATCTATTTCACACTTGTTTAGTGTGTACACAAGTTTGGCATCATCTCCGTCGCCTTCAATTTCTTCAAGATATCGAATTGTTATACATAATAAATACAAGCAAATAAATAAAATTAGTTCAGACTTACTCGCTGCATCATACACAAAAAACGTGTTAAACCACAAATGAAAGATTTTCTTTTTTGAAATCTTTTGAGTCAACTCCACTTTAATATCACCAGCTACACATAATGTTGGGTTTTTTATGTCCAATGTAAATGACTTCCGAAAATCAATTGTTAAGTTTTGCAATGCCTGAAATTTGACACAAGTATTAATGAGGGAATAATATGAGGGAATTAATATAATTAATTAATTTAATCTTTTATAATAATTTGCTTTAATCTTTTAGAAAACCCACATTTTTTTAAAAATATTTTCTATTTTTGTTAATATTATAATGTTAAGATTAAGGTCTAGGCAGAAAAGATAAAAAAAAACTTTGAAATAATAAAATTAAGTGATCTCTCTAGACAAACAATTAAAAAAAATTTTAACAGCATACGTTATAATGGTCACAAAATATTCAAAACAACCTTTAACGCATATAGCGTCTATCTGAACGAAAAACAATGATCACCAATTAAGTTAGGAAGAATACACTTAAAGGTCGAATATATCTAAAATATTTTTATATTACTAGATGTTTTATTTAAATATTATATTAATATTGCTCTTTCTACATTGCATAAATAATTCACAAAAAATAATAACCACGAAAATCTTTAAATTCCGATCAGATTATTACAGTGATAGTAAACTAATTACAAACAAGAACAAAATATCGCTTACAACACTGCTATTAAACTGAAACTTACAGGTTCCTCAACGTATATATGGACATAGCCAGATGCTAAACACAATTTCAAATTGTTTTTCCGTCAAAAAACGAATAGAAAGCAACGAAGTTTTTAGCAAACTATGTTATCTAAATTTTTACGAATGCATTCAAAATAAACTATGAATGCATTCAAACCTTTCGCAGATATGTTAACTCCTAAAGGCTACCTAACTCAGACTACTACGGGTTTCAGGTGATTAAAAGGTATCTCGATTAAAATGGTATGTCGGTGTAAAAAGATATAATACAAATTCCACATGATATTAAAGATAAATGCAGTATATTAATTAATCAGGTACCAATCAATGTTCTTTAATCCACCACAATAAAATCAGTGCTAGATAGCAAGTGCAGAGTGGAAACTGATAGACTAAACGGTCTTGCTAATATTACAGTTATTTGAGTTCTTATATATAGAAATATTGAACAAAATGTTAAAGCAGACGGCTTGATCTACATTGCTACTTCTCTAGATGTATTCATAGAGGTTTGTTCTGTGTTCCTCTAAAAATGGTTTACAAGAGGTCTTACCCATATTTTCTTCAGCAAACTAATAATAAGTAAAAATTACGTTATTTGCAACTTCTTAGCCCGCCTGACATTTGCATAACAGAACTAGATCCTGGAAACTCATTAATAGCGATCTCTTGAATAATACAAGGCCTATTGAAGTACATTCTGATGACTAATGTATAAGAACAAAGACAAAGAAACTGCATATTCCTTTCAACATTCAAGTTGTGAAAATAAAGGATAGAAAAATATAATTAAGCATTTCCTCTACAACTGTCGTTTTTTTCTTTCAGAAGAAACAGATTTTAGGAAACTAATTTTGATTTTGCATCATGTTTCTATTATTTGGAAGACGATAAAAATAATTGTACCACCGAAACCAAGAACGAGCACTGCATAAAGTACCCGTATTGTTGAAACCCGTGTTGTAGAGCAACGTCTGATCGTCTGAGAAGACGAACGATTCTGGACCACAGACGCTTTGACCTATTTTTACGAATGTTTTACTTAACAGAAACAAAATATTTTATCTTAGAAAAACAAAATGAAATTATACTAACCCCTTCAAATCTACTGATTTATTGTTGGGACCTATTAGTTTATGACTCTGCCCCCACGAAATGGCAAAGTTTTTTTTCCAAATATTCCCGTCCATCCACCTCATTTTTTATCCTATCTAATACTTTCTTACCATCCTATTTTTATTATTTTCTTGAAGTTTTATTATCCTTTAATATACTTACTTTCTAGATTTTTATGTTTTTTCGACAATTTTCAGTATTAATAGTTATGTGATGCATTTAATTTAGTTAACTTATACACACTTGTAAAAAGCAGTATCTTAAAAGTATCAGCAATAGTTCAATCAGCACACCTATTGCAGTTGCCTAAAAACTTTTGTTGGTTCTTGCACGTAAACTACATTTAGTTGCTGAATGTAATTGTTATCTGTGTAAGGCATAACTTTTAAGTTGACAGGTTTTCATGTTTTCGAGGTCTATCAGACACTAAAATGGCATTAAGGACCGACTTCAGTCTGTAGCAATTCCAGTTAGACACCTATCCCACTGGCTTAATTCGGTATGGATGCTTAAAATGTTTAATTTTTGACATTTTGACATCGACGACAAATGTCGCGAAAATTAAGCAAGAAAATCATATAGCGTCGTGGGAAGTTTTTCGAAAAAGCTGGTATTACGCAAACCAAAATATGATTCTAATGTTACTCAATTTGTATATCTCGCACAAAACAACTAGCCTATTTGTCAGCTGTTAGCAAATAATTTTATTTTTTAATAATATTAAGCATTTATGCTAAAATACACCTACTGATGAACGTCCCAAAACCAAAAAATTTTTAAACCATAATTTTTTCAAATTTGGTAGAAATCAATTTATGTTTAAAGGTTAATCTTTCCGGAATCTATAAGTTGATAATTAAAAATTTCAAATTTACTTCAATCAGCAATTAATTTTTAAAAAAAAAAAAATATCTCCACAATTAATTATTTAATTTTAATTTTCTTTTTTTATTTAACATATTATCACTAGCGCTTTCAAAAAGAAAATCCATATTTATATAAAATTTTTACCTGTACTTTACCAGCAGTTCCCGTATCTTGCAGTTCTGAAATTGAGCAATTCACCGTACCTTGGCTTAGCAAAACATGAGCTTCCGTAAATCGAATCTCGCAGAACTAAAAACAACGAAATTTTTTATTGAAAGTGTTTATTGTTTGTATATAAAAATAAGTACTTGTAGAGTTCGCCTCTCATAAGGTAAACCGGACCGAATCAACTTCGAAAAATACTGAACATATCGCCTCTGAGAAGGAATCGTTACGCCTTTACCATCTTTTGTGCGCTTTTCATCATAACACGCCAATGCATCCTCGGCCGAACATTTTTGTCCACTGTATAGTAAATAGCAACAAATCATTGTACCTTCAAAAGAAAGAAAGTATTAAAGTTTACACATAATTTCTTAATAATATATCTGTATACCTGTTCTTCCTTTTCCTGCTTTACAATGTACAGCTGCTACATTAAGATTATCTGCTTTAAGCCAAGAGTCCACATCATCACAAAAGTTTTGAATTTGTTCTATTGATGGTGGGTTATGGTCCTCAAATGGGTAAACTGCAACTCTCTATAAATAATTTAAGGTTTTGATGTTTCATACTATTTTTTTAAAATTCATATCTACATACTCTGTGAAACTTATTTATATCGTAGCTACGTTCAAGGCAAAGATTATAAATTTTGTAATGGTCGTAATGATTTTCCTCTAAAAATTTATACACATCCTCCAAACGGTTTCTGTATATGCTCTCGATGTTATCGGCTGGATAACCCATGGCGATGATATTGTCACAAATGTCTGCCAAAATAAATTGATTATTTATATAATTAATATTATATCTACAATTTTATGTATAAAAATAAAATGTTTAATATAAGCAAATATAAGTATTTCAAAACAATATTAAAAAACGCTATTCCTATGCGACAAGTAATGTGTAAGCACCTGGAAGAACGTGGATAATAGTTTTAATCCTGACAGAGATCGCATTTTTTATTGCTGTCTGCAACCACAAACAAACACTTCTACCACAATTACAGTTCTATATAAAAAATATTATGTTTTCAAAAGCATAAAATTAAAATTTGGATCGGTCTTTTTTTTATTCAAAGCAACTACTTCTTCACAGAAAATCAGACGGTAAACGCAGAACATCATATCGAATTAACATAACGAGTTCGATAATGCACCTTCGTATTTACCTGATTTAGTTTTGGACGACTTCTGATTATTCCCCAGACTGAAATGGACGATAAAAAGAAATCGTTTTAATATCATTCCAATTCTCTAAAATTGGACGACTTCTGATTGGATTGGAATGATATTAAAACGATTTCTTTTTATCGTCCATTTCAGTCTGGGGAATAATCAGAAGTATGTCGCTTTAACCGACATACTTAATCCATTATTGGCAGATGAATTAAAAATAAGCTTGCGAAGAAAGCAATAATCATTTTGAATAAATAAGAATATAGAAACAACGGTCCATATTTTTGTTTGATGCTAATCTCGTTGAAACTTGGTATATATCCAACGGAAGTATCATCAATTATTTTGTAATAAAGTGAAACTTATTGCAGTGCAACTCTTTGTAGATATAAAAGTTTTCAGGTTGGACACTATTTTGTGTTACATTCTGTCATGGACACATAAAAAATAATTGTCAATATAATCTGAACATGCAGACTAAAAACTAATTAAAAAATTCGAATATTTCCTACGACCACTGATGATAACTACTTAGCAATACTAGATACAGTATTGTATGGTGGGCAAAACTTCAATAAATTAACTAAAATGTTTGTTATTGTCTTTTGATTTATATTCAAACCCTTCTACTTTTAAATAGTTTCTTTTCGTCATAAGAAGCGTCACTTTCGACAAAAAAAAATTAACATTAAATAACCAGAGTATGTTTCGCTTTTATCACAGAGATACTATTTTCTTAGTTATTCTATTCTTAAAGAAGAGATAATCCTACTGTTAGTAATGTAAGATTTAAGTCATCATTTGATAATGTTAAATTATAGGTATCTTGAAATGAAATTAATTAATAAAATACGAAAATATTAATTAATTTCGCTACAAAGCTCGATTTCTGTTGTATGTGATTTTACTAAAGATATACCATTATCTGATTAACAAAAAATTGAATCTTGCGAAATTACTCTTTATTGTAAAAATATCACAATTTATAGTCACAATTTCGTCATTGATCTCTGATAGGCTGTGATATTGATTTTCCTAGACTACAGTCTATTAAAACAGTCATTAGTAATAAAATGGTATTTATTTAGTTCGTTAGTTCGATCGCGTTTTTTACACGTTGTAGTTTTTTTATCTTTAGAAAAGTAACAAAAAAAAATAAATTCAGAATAACGAAGCAGTATTCGTGGAGTATATAGTATGTACAGTATTATGTGCACTATTTGGTACCCTAAAAAAATTAACATATCACGTCAAAAATATCAACAGGTTCAAAGTTCTGTGCCTAGCCCTGGCAGTCCGTAAAGTAATTACAGGCTCTATAATTACAGGCTCTACAGCTAAACTCAACTAATCAAATACAATAATATTGCTACACTTTTTCACTATGTGAACTTTTCTATTCAAAAAATAGTTTTCTCGTTTGACTCTTTACCAAGTCAAAATCCAGGAACGTTTCTACTTCGATGAAAAAATGATCGTACGATAATTGAAAAAAGATAATGTGATGAATAGAGATAGACGGATAAATATGTGTCAAGTAATTAGTTAGCATGTTTTCCGAGATCTTGATCAAATAGATATTCAAACATCATTTTTGCTTCTTCTAAAACTGACGATAAAGTAAACTCATAATAAAAAAAAAAAGAAAATCTCTTCTTAATGCCGACTTTCACAAAGGAACAACTTAAATCAACAGCTAGTGACTTCCAGGGAAATGATAGTGAAAAATCTATTAGGCAAAATGTAGCAATGCATTTGAAGGAAATATTGTACCAGTATGAAATGGTGATACCTCTCTCTGATATTCAATTTCACTGATATTTCGTCTGTTATATATAGTTGTTTTATTTAAAAAAAGGGCACAAACGACAGAGTGCGAAACTCTACTTATTGCCATCATTTCGTAATTTTTATTTCATATTCTAAATTTCAGATATAATACATTTTCATGTGATAATTAAATTTTACTATGTGATAATTAGTTGTAAAGGACATTGTACGTTATGAAAACAAAAAAAAAATTTACAAAATTAGTTTTATTTCTACTACCTATAAATAAAATACATTTTATTTGTTGTATTAATAAATAAATTATGCCAACATATATTACTTTTCATTTATTATTGGGGCGAAGTATATTTGGACACTGATTTCTCGATTAAGTTACAATATAAATTGATAAGATAAAAAAGATTTAGACTCGTAGGGATTACAAGGGCAAATATGTTTTTTATAAATTAAAGAAACTTTATCTCCATTGAAAATAAATACGTTGTATGTATAAATTACTTACAAGCCAAATCTAAATTGTATCCTCCTTTAGTAAAGCGTCTACGCTTCTTGCTGACAACATTTCTTACAAAGTTCATCACGGAAAGAGTATTTGCCATTTCAAAACCTTGTAAATCTCAATGCTTCATAGAGCCTCTGTAAGGAAAAAAAATTATTAAAATTAATTTACTGTGAGATCAAAAGATAAATAAATAAATTTTTAATTGCATAATATAATTTTATTTCTAATTTATATAAATCTAAAATTAATAAGGTATTACTGTTAGTTTTAGAATTCATTTTGGGAAAAATATGGTCAATGTTTTCGATCAATAGTTATTAACAAGCATTTTATTTAAATCTAAATAAAAATTGGAAAAGAACTCGATTCGGCATATCACAGCATCTTTAAATTTGGGGCTAATAAATTACAAGAAAATTTCAACTAAAATATATCAATAAGTTTAATAAAACAAAACAAATTTTTAAACATAAAAATCGATGCCAGAGTAGAAAAATCAATAAAAAATAAAAGAGAACCAAATACGTCCACAACAAAAATTCATTTTTAAACCTGGAAAACAAACCAGGTATTTATGTTGATCTCTTACAATCCTTACTTTACTTTAAGCGATCTTATACAGAGACGTTTCATTTATAAATGTACGAATATCGGTACATCTCCTTCCATTGACAGGATTTCTTTGATTTATTAATATAAAAAGCATAGTGTTTCGAGTTGATCTATCTTATCAAAAAATTTCATATCTTTATCTTTGACAAGTCAATTTGTAGGGATCCATACATATCTTCATTTTTGGCCTTTACCTAATCTGTTTAACTGTTAATTTTGTATTCTTTAAATTTCATTGAAAGTAGATTTGGCATAAGTCCAGTACTCATACAAAAAATAGTTTTCGAAAAGTACTTTTTTTGGTGAACATCAGAGATGGTTTTTCGTTATTCCTGGCAGTAGAATAATTTACACTTAACAATTTCTGATATTTGGTGACAAAAAAAATTATCCGAGTCATATTTGACGTCTTCAATTGAGATAAAAGTTTTATAAATACTCGCATAAGTGATAATCCGAAAATGCTAGATATGTGTGTGTTTATATATATTAATAAATCCTATTCAAATTCTAAAAGCTTTTGGCGAGTGACCACACGTGTATGCAGTTTGACATTATCTTGGTTTTTGTTGCTGTAACCCGCCGAGATATTATCTCGGTAGAACATTATGCCTTTATTGACCAATTTTAGTTTATCATGTTTAAGTAAATGTTTAAGTACACTTTAGAATTGATTATATATCATATGATTATATATATAGGTTTATATTTTTTGTTCCATGATCCCTTGTGTTGAATATTGTTCTAGATAACCGAATTGTCATCAGTCGTCCACACTGATGATTGTTCTTAAATATTTATTATTTTCATGACATTATCAAAATTTTTATGTAACATTTTTTATAACATATCAAAGCCATATAGCGAGTTTTGAAATTATAGCAAACCGTTTCATATAGTCAGAAACGGTCAAATTTGGTAAATTTCACATGTCAGTGATGTAATGATTTGGTTTAAATCGATAGTGTGGATCAAAATCAAAAAACCTTTGCAATAACAAACTTTGTTATATCACCTGTCAAGATATATAAACAAAATGTGTAGTGAAATTGTGAATATTGGATACGAAAATGTGTATTTAAGTCCTTTGTTTCCGACCAACACAATAAAAAAGTGTAAAGAACGCTAAGTCTCATTCCGCAAAAAGCTGTCCTAATTTTAGTATGTGGCTTTTACGTCAAATGTTCGCCTAGTATTACGCCAGTTATTTTTAATTATCGCCCCTGTTGTTGATGTGGGTATAAAATTTTGGCGGCTTTTTCATATGTTAAAAGTTTGGTTTGTCTCGATTAGGTTCTATTTTCCATTTTCGAAACCATTTTGTTATCTAATCTATATATTCCTAAAAAATATTAAGAATGTTATTGGTGTTCTGCCTAAATATAGATGACATCTACTTACAACAAAAATGTTTTCCGATCTATTTTTGGTCTTTTTGAGCCTTGGAAAGCGTTTACTCATATGTTTCTGATTGTTTATAGATGATTTTTGATTCCAATACGAAATTTTTTGTTTTTGTAAGAAGCTGCCAATTATCTTCACTAAATGTGGAAGAATATGCTGAACCATCATTTTGACAATCAGTCAATTGAGCCATACTGTATATTTATACTGTATTTTTTTGCTCACTTTAGAAGTTTATTGCATCTTAATATAAATACATTAATTCTCCTATCGATATTTATAAGATCCCATTTTGTATTTAAATTTGCAAATGATACTAATGTAAGGATATTCAAAATAACAGCTGTAGAGGCTATAAATAATTTATGTTATTTATGCACAGTTTTAATTTTAATTTTTTATTAGCCAATATATTGAACAAATTTATTTATTCATATTCTGCAATTCAAAATATTTTGTTTATATTGTATATAACAACAAATTGAGGATGCATAAAAATTAGCACAGCAGTTAAAAATTTATGTGAACAATTGAGAACAAATTAAAAGAAAAAGTAGAGTAGAGAGTAAATGGAAATAATATTAAAAAAATTTAACACGGAAATAGCAATTTCACAGTCACATCATGACCACAAACTAATGCTTAAAAAAATTAATTTCACTTATCTACAGCAAACATCAATCATAAACCATATGGTTCTTTCCTTGGTAGAACACCACCGATGGTCATCAACACTGAATCCACTTAAGTGACTTTGGGACTCCCTTACGTGCTGTGTAATAATTCCGATTAAATTATATAATATTCTTAGAATGGCCAACATTTTTTCAGATATATTGTCTTTATCTTGTCTATATGTGTTTGTCTATACATAGCGAATTTCTCTAATTAATTTAGATAAATAAAATCTTATTGAGATTGAGATTTCTTTCTCATTAACCGAATTTAAAAATATATCGTAGTTATTGACATACGATAGAGAATACATCATTTAAAAATAAATATTAGAACTATACGACTGAAGCGTTGCAAGCATAAATTTAACCCGAGGTACCATATTTTTTAAAGTTTCCAGAGCAACATATATAATAACATAATATATAAACATAATATATAATACATGACAAGCAAAAATATATCACAAAAAACAAAACATAAAAAAACTAAAATGTAAAAAACATTAATCCAGTTGGTGATAACGTATGGGAGACATGGATGTTAACTGAAGCTGAAGCGAATAAAATAGAAAACGCAGTAAAAAACAGCGTTTAAGATTGCTTGGCCATGTTATAAGAATGCCAGAAACAAGAGAACAACACAAGATGTTCGAGAAAGATATCAAAAGCAACAGAAGAATAGGAAGGCCAAAAAAACGATGGAAAGGCAGTATTCAGAATGATCTAGAGGAGATAAATATAAGGAACTGGAAAGAAAAGGCAAAGAACAGAGCAGAATAGAAGTTTGTTCTAAGACAGGCCTACGTCTCAAATGAACTGTCGCGCCAAAGATGATGATAATATAGAATTAACTCATCTTAGCGACCATTTTGAGGTCTTCTAGACCAGGGCTGTCCAAAGTGCATCCCGCGGCTAATGTCTGTGCGGCCCGCGACATGTTTTTAATCTACTACAATTATGCAAATTTTCTTTTGGTGTGCTGGTAAAACTACATTATTTTATTTTTATAGTATATCAAATATATGAATTAAAATTTTTTCTAATTAAATTTAAACAAAATTTAAAATTACAACCGTATTTTTATTTTTGTCGAAAACAAATATAAACGTTTAATTTTGTTTCAGCGGCCCTTCCATCTGCACAGTGATTGGTATTGGCCCTCGATCGCATCTGGTCTGGACTGTCCTGTTCTAAAGTATTGACTCGCGACCGAGGCACGATTTTCAACTTTTCTTCACTTCTTGCTATGACACTGCTATATGCGTAATATGTATAACATAGATAATTTAAGATTATTATAAAGTAAGAAAAATTAACTGTAAAGTTAAAATTTACTATAAGAAAAAGTTATTAAATGAAGTTACTTTAACTAATTAATTAAGGTGGTGAATATTTCGACTTAAACGAACAAATATTCTGCTGATTTCTTTAGAATTGGGTAAAGTCGTTATATTAAATAAAGTTTTAAATAAATCAACAAAATAACACAATCAAACTTGTAAATAGTTAATACATAATGAAGATAAATACACATACATATATTTAAAGCAATTATCAAGATAATTTCTTTATTTTAAGAGTTAACGAGTCTACACACCAGTGGTAATTGTCTTTCCAAATGATCAAGTGAAACTCACCACTACCACCGATTGATTCCAATAACGGTCAGATCTACACTCGGAGCCAATCGTCAAGATCGATAACTAAGTGTCGTTCAACACTCCCAAAAGGAACAACACAAGCAATTACCTGCGAGCTACAAGAACCACAACTTCCAATGGTGTGTCAAATAGCACGTAGTTTAGTTAAGTAGATTATAACGTAGGCTACAACAAATACAGCGCTACGAAGCACCGTTTGTCGAATTCGAAGTTGAAGAGAGTATAATTTATTCTTAAACTTTAAAATAAAAAATGTTATACATATATAATCCTGTTCGGATAACAAATAGGACCTTTTAAATCATTTCTAACTTTATAATGGCCAATATACAAGCTGCGTTTTAAAGTACACAGAACTTTTTAAGGTCAACAACTTCCCGTATTTATCTAATTTAATTCTGTGCGAGTCATAGCTTTTCGGAAAAAATGCACACACATATTTTTTAATAAAAAGAAAACGTTTATAGAGATTAAAATCATCCAAAACATTCGAACAGACATTTTATACATTTCGGTCGGTCAAAAATCTATTTCCACATGCTATTCCACGACTATTCAAATGTCGGCATGAAGTCAGAAGAGGACAATTTTGATAGAAAAAAAATCTGGAAAAATGCATTGCCGACTAAATGAAAGAAAACGTTTGTGGACGTAAAAGTCATTCAAAACACTTGTACAGACATTCTCTACATCTCGGACATAGATCTAAAATACCTAAACGACATTCCTTAAAGCCGTTCAAATCACTGTATTTAGTCAAAAGGGAAAGGGGGAGAATTT